CCGGCCATTTCGAAACGCACATGCTAAAAGCATATAGGCACTGACTGAGAGCGAAATCAATGACTACGGAGTCTTTTATAGGTTTTTGGAACGTGCCTAAATTCCACACGTACCTTTTCAGGGAGACACAAAGGGATTCGGATCAACTGGGATCGTAACAGGGCCACCGTAAGTTTATTGTACATGTACATTTACAGTACTTGTGTACATGTACATGTGCAAGCACATGTGCTGAGCACAAGTGCCGGTGTGGCATAACTCGTTATCCATTTTTCGTTGAGTTTGCTTTTTTATCAAGTTTTCTTGCATGTATTCTGTGTGCTAGCAATGCCATATTGGAGCGTTTGAACCAACCAGTTTGGTTCGGTTCAGTTCGAAAGTGCCATGCTCGATGTTTTTAGTTTTGGTTCAGTGGTTTGGCTGAAGCACTACTTTCAGTCATACTTGCATATGATGTGACTGATGTTCTCTATCAAAAAAGTCTGACCTTGCTTCGTTATTTTCCATGATAATAATTGAAATATTTTAAATGATTAGACATTAGTGCACATAAGTGCACAGTACGCATTGATTCAAAATGGGCATGTAGAGTCAGAATTCCTCTGTAGACCAACCTCGGATCGTGAAGACGCTGCAGGTTTAGCAGCTTGGAAGTCATTCTTGACTATTTGTTTCTCCAACCAGTACCGCTAGTGGATTGATTGTGTGCTGCATTATGTGAACTGGAGTGGGACAATTCATTCCTACATGTAAATCAACCGTTTTGCATACACATTGTCTTTGAGTTAATGAGAACTAGTACTCTAGTGTCTCAGATCCCTACGGTAGTCACATTTTATGTGTTCTGTACATACATGTACATGCAATAACCATGAGTTTGTTCACAAAAATTTGATTGTGCATGTTGAAACATGATCTGGGTCCACCCTCCTAGATTCTTAAAAATCCACGAGAAGGTTAGGAAGATTTGCAGAATTGAGACCCCAACATTTCTATTGCATGAATCTGGTACCCTTGAATTTCAAGTACAGAGAATGTAAGGTGGTTTAGCTGCAGAATGCCACATATCGGAAGATGCAGTGAGGCTTCAAGTAAAAACTCTTGGGGAGGTGATGCCATATAACTAAGATGACTGAGTAACATACCAATGTGGATACTGTTTGAATAAAGGAATCTCTATGAAAAGATTAACTTGCTTCCAATTATCTTCTCATGTTTTCTGTTTCTAGGCTAGTCCTTCCTGCATTGATTGCCTTCTTTGCCTACTTCAGTGTTGTGGCTGTCATTGCTATTGTTATGTCAAAAGACACAACTATGGAGTGCTTTGGTAAGCAGAGAGCTGACCAAGAAAGTCTTACCACTTTAAGCCTTGTACTAACAGTGTTTGCCTCCCAATTTTGTTACGATCAGTTTTACCATCAGCCTGAGAATGTTGGTGATTCAGTAGGACTAGGCAGTTTGAAGGTATACACAAAGGGGTCAAATGCCTTTCAGATACTGTATGCAAGACATGCTGTGCTTTCATTAGAGTGTGTAAGGCAGGTTTTCAAGTTAAAATTGACCATATGCAGCTGCTGTCCACAAATCAGCTGTCCATTGTTCAAATAAGACCCAGTTAGATAGTCACTGTACTTTAAGTTCATTCTTGTTGCATGTTGTCATTTTGACTATACATGGAAAGGTTTTTCCAAGGATATGCCATGTGAAACAATTTGAAACTCTCTGTGAATATTGGCCCAATGTGGTACAAGTTCATTTGAATCATATACACTGGTAGTACTTGGTATTTAGAATAGTAAGTAATTGTAAGGAGCAAGTAACCTCAAATGTCATAATAGGCATAACATGCTGAATAAGAAGCATGCCTGTATGCTTTTGTGACATGAGAGGGCGCACTTCATCACAGCACAATACTCCTCCCAGCGTTATGCTGATAGTACATGTAGTATTATTCTGGAACATTTTAGAGATGGTACAAGAAATGAGGTCTGTTTACAGATAGAAAAAGCAATCTGTGGGTGTGTATTGTATTGCTGTAGATCCATACTGGGTGATGATGTCGGCTGTTGAATTCTTCCTGACGCAACTGTTCTTACTGGCTGGCATTTTGATTACCAAGAAGATGAATGAAGTGACTACTTTAGAAAGTGCTAGGAGGCAACAGAAACGCAATCTTTGGAGGTATTGAGAATGTTTTTTAATTCATTTCAATGACACATTTATTTCTTCACTTCAGTGAACAATGTTTTGTTACAAATATGTGTCAGGAGCAAATGTTGGGTCTCCAATTGAAACAGAAAACGAAACATTTTCTTCTTTCGATGACATTGCAGCAACAGCAGCCACATTTGTCAAAAAGAATATGGAATAATGTAAAATTTTGTGTAAAGACTAATCAAAAGGGGATGTCAAACAGCATTCAGACATTAAAATTGCACAAATGTATTCACTAGTAAAACTTCATTCCATGGGCCCATATTTGTATGATGCAAGTCAGGTTTATGTCGACATGTTACCAACCTTTTCTTGGAAAACAGTGTAGTATTGATAAATTGTCCTTATGTTTTGCATTGCAGCATCATTATTGCCTTTGAATTGTCATCCTTGACAACGATGCTGTTTGACGCTGTTATGCTGATACTCAGTAAGTACTGGTTGCTTTCAGCTGATGTTGTGGATGTTTGTGTTTACTCATGGAGTAAATCTCTTTTGTTAAGCACAGTTCTAAATCAACCAGTTTGATTACTGGACAAATGGTTCACTGATCATCTAGCAAGTAACATTCCCTGCAACTGCCAGCTCAGTCAGTCATATTCCAACCACAACCCAGTCAAGACTTCATAATAGCATTCCCCCCTGCATGCTTCTGTGCTCTTAATTTATCCTTGTAGTGTTAGAATCTTCGATTAGTTTCCTGATGATGGACTGGGTACATTATCCAAAAAGTTGAGTAAAAAAAAGTTGCTCTCAGAACCTTACTCACAAAACTCCACGGTACATGCTACTGGGGATTCAATCCATTGCTCACTTCACCTTGCAGTCCTTCACATCTTATCTTACTCATTGCTTTAAACACTATAGTTGCTACCTAATCTAACTAAATGATTGGAGGTTGCCAGAGCTCCTTTGCATTAACGGCCTCAAAATAGTCTGGCAGTCTATATCAATAGAAACCCTTAACAATTTTCACCCATACATTGCCCATTTTCATTAGGATGTCAGGCTGGGTGATGAATTAACACAAAAGCCCAGTTTGTTCTTTAATGCGAACTCTAGTTATTGCTGATAAACAAATGACCTTAAGACTCATTTTGTGGTATCCAGTCACCTTTGTCTTTAGCCCTGTTTGCACTGGCCTTTTTTTTGGGTAAACTTGCTGAGATGATGGGTACTTTGCCCATTTTAAGTCCAGTGCGGACATCCCCGGAAGACTTCCTCTCGGTTACTTTTCCCGAGCCACGCGGGAATTTTTACTGGCCAACTTCTGGCCAGGAAGAATTCCCGGGACACTTTTCCCGCGACAGAAAGTCCAGTCCGGACAGTGTAAGTAGGTAAAAGCAGCTCAGGGAAGCGTACATCTGGTTTACTGGCTCAGGTTACTAAGGTCAGGCTCAGGCTTCAACTGTTTTTTTTTTACTTCCTGACATTGAGGTTGTAAGCGCAAAAGTAAGTCTGATAGTGCCACAAAACATCAAGTAAGATGCAAAAGAGCCAAACATTACAGTACTTTAATTTAAGTTAAACACTTCAGGCCCACAATTGGGGATTTGATTTCCTACACGAAGCCTGAGATGGACACAAAGTTGAGTATTGGAAAACGGCCATAATTCTTTGGTCAAAGGGTGAACACGAAAGGTCACGCAAAGCGCCCTCATGTGCCAATATAGTGACAGCTCGGTTACTTTTCCCACGTGTCTCAGTAAAAATCCCCGCGTCGAAAGTCCAAGTGCGGACGGTGGTAAAATTTGCTCAGTTTTCATTTTCCGTCCGCTTGGTAAAATCCTCAGAAAATAAAGTCCAGTGCGGACAAGGCTTTTCAAATCACTTAATTTCTGGAATGAAACCATGGTACTGGTTGATGAAAGAGCACCACTGAAGAAAACAATGAGTGGTGACTTTCCATTTGTGAAAACTTCAAGGAGACTCAGAATAGTTCCCATAACATAGCCAGAAAATAACTTGAAAAGCAGTTTTGTCCATAACCACTGTGTTAACAAATGCCATGCATTGCATACATTGGGGGTTAGAAGAAGAAACAGAAGGGGAACAGTAACATGCATGCAGTGCACTTAATTCAAACAACACATGGCTCAGTTGAGGCACTTCCTGAATGTACTGCTGTGACTGAGCATATACTCACAGTGCAGAAACTGCACAATCCAGTGCAAACAGTATACAAATAATGAATGTTTAAGAGTGTGATGGCAAGACTAATTGCTCAAGGTGACAGATAAAACGATCTGGATTTCATTTGTCACCAAATGCAGTTATTCTTTCCATTTCACGGATGCCCATCACTCATTGTTTGTTTTTATACCACACCTGTATAAATCCTTGTCATCTGATTTTCTGAGTACAGCTGGATTAATTCACTGATTCAAACTGGAAGTTGTCCAGTTGTGAATCCGTTAATCTTCCGGCATGATGTTCCGAGCTGGTTCAATCGTTTGGCAGCATTTATCTGCTTACTTATATTGGCAGTATCAGCATTACTCACAAAAACAAGTTCTTCTAATTATTTCATACAATTGTGAAGGGCGGAGCTTGATCGCTTGTCATGTTGCCAAAAAAGAAACTTACGCCACTACAACCTGCAGTGCAATCGATCCGAAGGTGTCCATTATTAGTTTATACAACGCATTGTGTGTGTGCTGTGTGTTGATACAAATAATTCAATGCCAGGTGAACAATGATCCACCAATCAGATGACAGGGATTTATGGAAGTGTTGTATAATAACAAATTACCCCTGAAGTTGTGGCACTTGAAATGGGGGTGTGACATTTCTCAAACCTCATCGTTGTCTTTTGACGATTGGCTCCTACTGCATTCCTCATTAGGGAAATTATAGATTGGATTGTTACTTCAGGAACATTAGTCCTTCGAATATGATATCCAAGAGGGGACAAATTCATTTCAATCTTAAAGGAATACAAAGCGAGACCCTAAAACTCATCAAAACAGCCCTTGAAAACATAACCTCGTAATGTTCCACTGTATGACATGTAGTACATTGCATTGTTATCATGGATTACCAGACTAAACTTGGTCAGATGTTGAAACTGCCTGTGAGTTCTATTATCAGAACCCTTTTCANTTTTAGGCATTTCTAGGACTGTAACAAATAGTAAAGAATACCCTTTGAAATTCACATTGTTTTCATCATATTAAAATATATTTTGTATACCTTTGTTGTGAAACTTTACAGATCCACAGAATGCCAGTTGTGCAGATATTTACGTAAGTTAATGAAGCTGTAATATTCTGCAAAAGAGAGAGTGAGAGGGAGAATGGAAGATATATCAAAATAGAAATACAAAATGAAAAGGAACAATGAAAAAAGCAAACATTTGCAATGACCAAATCACCCAGTGCAAGAGAAAGGGCGATATGGCTGATTCAAATGAAGAGTTGCTTCTTTGGAATGTGATCTATCATAATGAGAGATGTAAAGGAAATGTTGCTGTGGAGAAACCCGTTTTCTGAAGCTGTTTTATTTTGAAACAAGTTGGTTTCATGGCACTGTTTCACAGTTAAGAGACATTCCAACAAAATGTATTTTAGACAAAACTTGTGTTCACTTTTAAAGTGTATTTTGCCATAGATGTAAACTCGACTCTGGCATTCGCAAAGAGATTCCTGTGGGCTTTTTAAAAAAGTTAACATACTCTTGGCTGTACTTATTGCAGACCTTTCAGGTGAAATGGACGTTAGGTTCCGTAATGGAAATACTCTACCATAAAACCAATACCACAGCATTGACCACTTGCTGCCAGGGAACCCCGTTTTGAGCACCATGGGTTTATATGTAGAGCCGGGGTGTCTGAAATGGGACAAAGAGCTGATCCTTGTAACAAAAGACCGTACTCGGAATAAAAGACCTGCTGCTGGGAATTAGCATCATTTTTTGGCTTGCATTTTTCGAAGGTAATCCGTCACTGTTTTTAAACAGTATACCACTATTTTGGGCATAACGCGCCCGCGGATTAGCACTGCAGATAAAAGTGCTCCAGGGCCCCATTGACGAGTGACACAGCACCGCTGCATGCTAATCCAGCCACGTTTGAAAAAACGCCACTCACATTCACTGGGACAAAGGAATTTATGCAACACCTCACAATTCTGGGCTCTCTTTACAGGGCAGCAGGCCTGGCTGAAATACTCGGGAGTCAAGGAAGGTTGCTTGTCAGCTTAGAGTAGCCACCAAACAGTCATTCGTGTGTGTGTGTAAACATCCATTAAATGAAATGATGAATTTATGAAGAATTTCGGAAACTGAAAATCTTGAAAATATCCCGTCTGTGTGCACTGCATTTTAAAAGCACCCGGCAGCAAATGGTTAAGCCCTGTCACCTCAAGATACTCGTTAAATTTGGTCATGGTATATTCCTAGACATATCTGCTGTTACTTGAAAAATAAGGCAAAGAAGTGTTCTTCTGATTTCACTTTCAACAGAACCGGAGCCAGATTGTCTATAGCATCACCTACCTGTTCCTGATGGTAAGGGACTTACAATGTACAGTACTCTACTTATTCTGATCATTTTAAAGGCTGCTAAGCCCATCAGTTTTCTGGATAGAAAATTGATGGATCATTGCCCTTGGCTGGTTTCAGGGGATATTGCTAAGATTGTAAATTTGCTATCCAGTGCCTGCATAGAAACTCTTTGAAACCAATCTCTGTCCCTCAGATATTTTGCTCTGTATTTAATTTTTTTTGCATTACGTTTTTCTCCTCCCTACAGCTTTTCAAGATTGTGGTGCCTATTGTCACACTTTTAGCTGTCTTTCACCCTGTGTCTCGATACACCGATAGCAACCAGGAGGACTTTCTAACCAGTGATACACAATATGGGGTAAGTGCATTGATAATTAATTGATTTAAAGTTGGGTTTGTTTTAAAGGCAGCTGTTGAAAACTTCACTCATTGATTACGGCCATGTATCACTTTTGGAAACATCCGCCGAGCTGCTTACTCATTTGCATCACCTTGAATCAGAAGGGGCGATTAGGGAGCAC